TCCCTAGATGTTTCGTTCCAAACCAAGTGAAACTCGGTTCATGGGGACACGTTAGGGACACATATAGCATTTGCCGTTTTCTAAACTTTCATATTCATGATAGTATCAGTAAGAGAAATGGCAACCAGGAATTAATTGACACCCTTTATTCTTACTTCATACAATTTCCATGACTCGTAGTGGCTAACACAATGATTATGTACTTAAATGATGTTTATCATTAATGAAGTAAAGGGGACAATCGATTTCAGTAAATGAAAGTTCCGAGTAGTAGTAAGAAGAAAAATAAAGAAAGACTACAAAAACTTAATTTAGTCAGAAAGGTGTGCAGCGGAACACGCTATCCGTTTCCTGAATTAAACTCGAGATTATTATTAGTACATCATCACTACCTTTTACTTATCTTTTTGCTGCTGTGCTCCAACACGGCTTGTGTTGGTGCTGGCGTTGGTTAATCCAGATATTTCGGCGTGTCGCAAAATGCGACAATGAGGTTATTAAACAACGGCTGTGGAGGGCAGACAGCTCTAAAGGATGGAAATCACGAAATCCTGGGGAAACTTTGAAAAGTTGTTAGACTTATCGTGATGGGAGAGATGGTTGAGGTGGACCTACCCTCAATGGAGGACGTCAATGAATTTATCAAGGCCTGAAATGCGCACAAAAGGGCCCGGACGGAAATATCATATAAGAAGTCTGTTATCGAGGATCGGATGATGGTTTGGAGGAATTCGTAAAGAAAAGCTTCGCGGATCCAGCTAGGAAAGATGGTCCTGCAGCGGTTTCGCGCGCGTTGATAGCAAGCAGTTACACGTTGGTTGTAGATTCGCAAATGACAAAAACAGCGGTATGAAAAAGAATCAACGGTGCTCAAAACTTGCAGCCAGAAGAGCTGCTTTCAAAGGGAAAAGAACACATACAATGGGCATACGCAATTCGTCAAATGTGGCGCAATGATTTCGAGGTATTCGTCCAGTCGGCGTCCCAGAGAGACGCGGCGCTTAACATGCGACAACCAACGAATTTCAAAATTCTGCGGCAAGATTATGCAGTAGAGGTCAACTGTGTCCCATTGCGGACACGAATTTAAGGGGGCAGAGATGTCAAGAATTTTGCCATCATCAGGGAGATAGAGACGGCTACGAAGGTACGGATTCCATGCTTAGTAGTTATTCTAATAAGAAGGTTACACGACGGAAAGGAACATCGCCGGTCAAAGAAAAATGGCCCTACTCGTGGATTAATTGTGGTAAGCCTGCCATCGGAGGCAATGCAGACGGAAGTGGTCCGAAACGGCCTAGTTAGTAACGCCATGCTCTACACCGCGCAGGTATGGTCACCACGGTCGCAGCCAAAGCAGTGTTACAACTGCAGTCATTGGGGACACACGCAGGCGTCGTGTGGAAAGGCAGCCAGGTGCGGTGAGTGCGCAGGCGTTCACCAAACTCGGGACTGTCCGAGGAAAAGGGTTTCTTGTGCGAACTGCGGCAAGGAGCACTGTTCGTGGCAGAAAGCAGCATGTCGGACCTACCAGGTCTTCAAGGGAAGTGCGGAGAAGGCTCGGATGGAGCTGTTGTCAAGAACGGCGGAAATATGGAATGAAAAAGCTACCATGGCGCCAATGCGAACAGTCGGAACGACTGATGATGAGGGATTTACTTTGATCATCAGTAAAAAGGCCGAAGGACTCAAAAGAGGGCCGGGACGACCACTCAAGGTAGTCAAAGCCCTAGCGGTACCAACCATCTCCTTGATAGCAGCACCATCGGGGTCAACTCTTCGAACGCTTCGAAGACCAACGCCGAGTGAGGAGGTGCCTTTACTCTTTAATCTCGCATAAAGTTAGTCTTATCGAAGGGGGAGTTAACGAATTCCGGAGAAAGTTTATAAATTTGTGGTTGAAAGGAACGTCCTCAGCATTAGGCCGGGTCGGTTCAGAGTGGCAGGACATCGGGGTTTGTTTGTTGAAAGCTTTTTGCCACACCAAAGCGGCTTACCGTCTTGATGGTTCTGTATATAGATACTGCATAGGACGTTAAACGAGACCAATTCAATGAAAGACTCTGCTTTGATTGATATTGATAATAATTTGTATACAATAGACCATAGCGTAATAAAAATTCTATTTCTGGAATAAATTCATGTTTTAGAGGGATAACACGAATAGTGTAATGATTATGAAAATAATAAGTGTTGATATTGTGTCTGATGTGCTTATTTTGCTTTTGAGTTTATGACTATCTAGCACATTGGGCTCCTGTCTGACCCAGGCCACATCTTGTACGATGCACATATCCCTTTTTGTTACTTTAAGGATCAATGTTATATTCCCCTTGATGAATATCCATTAAGGTCAGTGTTTATCTGCGGAATCGGCCACCCAAAAAAATAAATGGTAGTAACGTAAACTGCGTGCGTAGGAAGAAGTCTCGGAAATTCTCGAGCTCCAGCCAGGTAAGGCCTAGACAACGGGACCACATGAGGTGCGCATATTCATTAGTATCTCTTTTTGTGACAGCAGAGACCACCATGTTTCGATCCACCATCTCCAAATTGGGTGCAGGGTACGCTCCCTAAACTCATTGGATGGCTCTTTTTCACAATCAAGGGATGGTGATGAGAAGGGCTCTGGCCCTTTCATTTGATGTGATGGTGGTTAGCTTTATGATAGTGGTGTTAGGGGAATGTGCTCAGGGATTAATACGATACAGACCGCGAAAGCGATTCGGAATTCTCGTCCAAGTGAGGACTTTTCTAATCAATCTCGGCTCTGTAGACACTACAATGAAAGTTGGAGGTTTGTACAGGAGACGACTGACAGATCTTGAGAAGAGTTCCCCGCCCTTAATGATTCAAATCTGTCGAATCAAGAGCAGATTGCTGTCCAGGCTTGAATTAAACGTAATATTAAAATCCAAGCACCGAATTCATATGGTGTAGTAGAATATCGGCTTGAACTAAGAGAGACACCTCCCTACATCGTGCTATCACTTGAGCTGGGATGATAAATTTATGTTATTATTCATGAAGGTTTTTAGGCTCATCTATCATGAACATTAATATATAAGGTTTGATTGCATTTTGTAGACAAACATAATCTAGCTTAGCAATTTTGGTCGAGATTCAGATCAAGATCTATTTTAACATCTAAAGACCTACCTCTCAAAGTCATGAGACGTGGATTAAGTTTCCTAGCCACATATCTCTGTATACATTTACGATGGAAAAGATTTTCTTTTCACAACTTGGTTCAAAGTCGATCTGCGAATATTCTAAAACCAGCGAGCTGAAATCATTTATTATATTGCAAATAAGAATCATGAAAGTATTCATGATCATCTTTTGCCGTAAGCACTAGAATGTTTTGTATTTTATTTTGTTTAATATCTAGCTACGAGAATTCATTGACTTCCTAGGAATATATTAGATTGTCCATAGTTCGAGCTCTAATTATAAATACAGTCAGATTTGGTCGCCGATGTTCATTGTAGGGCACTCGTGACTTTTCAGTTTTCGAACCGTGAACTCGTAATTCGATAATAAGTCATGGTGCGAACCGTGGAGGTTTTTCCCCGAGCCCAAGGCGACCAATTGCTAAATTGGTTGACAAAGGTGCCCAAGCTGTTTACCACTGCACCATCAAACTTATAGAGACATCTTGGATTTTAGCACTAGTCTACACTAGTGAGTTTAGTGGTTATTAGCTTCTTTTTTTGAAGCTGGTGTCAACACATACAGTTGAAATCATCGTAGAATTAAACAATACTACACGACCAAACAAATATCTTCGCACTCACTTTAATTATCTAGGCTTCAGTACTAAAATATCTTCGAAATCTCTGTTATTCGAATTATTAGGCTCTACGTCAGTTTCACCATTTAAGAAATAGTTAGATCTAAGAATCACGCCAATCTTTAAATATGCCCCCAATACGTAGTCTCGCCAGGCGCAAAGCACCTCCAGATGGCTATGCAGACATAGAAGATGATTTGCTTATATTCAGCAACAAGATGAAAGATGCTGAGAACGCTTCGACAGCAAATATTCCACGGCATCAGGTTCACTGGAAGATATTTGAAATTAGCCATCAACGTAGCAGATATGTTTACGAATTATACTACAAAAAGGAAGCCATCAGCAAGGAACTATATGATTGGTTGCTAAAAAATGGCTACGCTGATAAAATGTTAATTGCCAAATGGAAGAAGACTGGATACGAGAAGGTAAGGCTGGAACTTATATGGAAATGAAAGAAGTTAACAGAAACACAGCTTTGCTGCCTAAGATGTATACAAACAAAAGAGACAAATTTTAATTCGACTTGTATATGTCGGGTCCCGAAAGCGCAGATGAAGGAAGACCAAGCCGTGGAGTGTGTGAATTGCGGATGCCATGGCTGCGCCTCAGCAGACTGAAGAATTTCACTTGCAATTTACATAGATGAGAAGCGATCATGTATAGCCAGAAACACCCGTGAATCTCGGCCACTTATATTAGTCCAGGAAAACTATTCGACAAAAATTTCGAATAGCATTATTGCTGAAAAATTGAAATTGTTTCATGGGTACAACTGTCAAGGATTATGGGCATCAAAGCGAAAAAAAATCCCGATATGAATCCAGATCACAAGTAAGAGATGCGGGAGAGTTAAAAGAATTCTCTATATTCAAGTTGATCTCTAACAGGTTAGGTGCATGGTTCTGAAATATAACTGGGGCTAATTTTTAGTTCCTCGCTCAAATACAACCTGCTAATGTGGCCCCGGATAACAAGGTAGTTAAAGAAATAATGTCGTAATGATTGTAACACCACTGAGAAAAACGCTTGATTAGGATTCAGAAAGGCATAGCTTTGCAGATAAGCAAGAACACCGGACTTTATTCCTGCCTGTGCGGATGCAAAGCCCTCGGAGTAAAAATCCATGATGCCAAGGTTGACAACCTTAATAGAAAATTAATTACATCTTCATGACCTGCCACAGCTGGGCTTAAGGAAGATGTGAGACAGGTCGGAGGTCAGGGAAACGGTTATTTGAGGCTATGATAACTAAGCCAAAGGATGTAAACAGTGTAAAAGGATTAATTTAACATGAATCAAGATTTGAATAGTTCCGATAGAAGTTTTGAATCAAGCCCACGATATGAGAGAGAAAGGATTGAATGAGGAAGATCAACTTCAATAAAGAGGAAGGCAGAGGTTGATCTCCACAATAGACATACCTTCTTTGGTGCAGCTCCCAAAGACGACACATCACCCAGAGCGAGACATAATTGATTAACCGACAGAGCTCTAACACAATGCTAACTTATTGGGATTTAGTAAAGTTCTCAAAAAGCTAAATTTGCACATGGGGCACTAAATCAAGATAACTGGAACCAAGACATGGAAAGTGCCTCGATTCTAGAAGTAATTACGTTCCCTCTGAACTTCATAATTAAGAATTACGTCCGATGCTGTAACTTTTCCTCTATAGACGCAAAACCAGTGGGGTAGGCTCAGATTTAACCTTTAGAACTGCTCTGCGTGTTCACGACCATTCTTGGAGTAGTAAACGTTGAGCTCAGCTAACAAGTTTTAAAGAAGATAAAGAATTCATACGGACCAGTGATATTATGACTGATGTTGAATTGGCATCCCTAACCTTTAGACCTTTTTCGCCAGTCCACTAGTCATGGCATTATTCTGGAACCTGTTCACGCACCCACAAGAGAACTAATGTATTCCCGGCCTGTCAAAGTAACTCGTGGCTTGTGCAAAATTTACGAACCTCTCGAATCCTTTGTGTCCAAGGAAATCAATATTTTTTCCTTTCTCAGTCCTAAGCTTTATAGTACAAGTGTGTCCACTATAGTTACGGCCTCGCCTCCACCTGGCCCAGGTACGATGACGTGCGTACATATGTTACATGCACGTTAGCATAACTGCCTGTCCTAGACACTTCCTCCTCATAGCCAATCTACTTCTTCTACCTCTATCTTAGAGCTGCCTTCCTGCCACTTCCTCTTCTCGTGATTACTATGCCTTGGTGCCATGGATAACCATAACATTTATTCACGATGAGTTGTCTTGTGAATTCATATAGTCTCAATTCATCTTTAAGTTTCCATATTAGAGATTTGTAACTGCGACATCAAAGAAAATACGTGAGCGTCTGTTTTAGGCCACAGGTACAACCCAAGACTGCATCTACGTGCTTAGAGGGACGACGAATTGCCGTAAAACCTCCGTGTCTTGAACTCGTAACAATGAGTCGAAGTAATGGAGGGTAAGACTAAAGACTTGTGGGTGGTGTCCTCTACGAACCTGTGAGTGAAAAGCCGCCCAAACTTCGCAGAGGTACTCGCAAATGAAATCCGAGGCATGAGTGCTCTTGCCTTTCATTGAGTCATCTATCATGTACTTTTCTTTAATGTTGTGTCATAGCTAAATAGTTGCATACGCAATTAAAATCTGATGTAATAAAATAAAGTATATAGATCTACTTCCACAGGGACCATAATTTATGATCCATGGAGATTAATAAATACTGGTCAAACACCACAGTTGATAAAAAGGCGTATACGCAATCTCACTTTTATCATCTAAGTTTACTCAGAACCATACATCTCAATACAATTGCTACCTCTCAAATCTTCCCTCTACAATCTCATATAAGACTTACTGGATCGGTCTAACCGCCGACACCGATTCCGCTCTTACCTCCATCTGCGCTCTAGCCCATAACTTCGACATTTACTTGTAGTACTCATGCCTCGGATGTCATTTGCAGCTACGACTGCGAAGCTATGGCGACTTCCCTTCCCAACTCAAGCTTCCGTGAAATGCACCCAGGTGAGCGTCTTAGAAACCTTGGGCTATCCAGACATGCCCCAATCATCCATTTCCTTTTCTCCGCGCGCAATGTGATCTTAGGTGTCTCGGTCAATTGGAAATTCTGACTCTCGAATTTAGGACTCACTCATGATTTTTTTCGTCTGAGGCTCCCGACAAGATCGAAGCTCTCTACTTGTGTCCTGAGTGCGTTTATCGCAGCTACTATTGCATATACGTCTCAACATTCACCTAATGTAGTGTGCCTTGGCTCATCATGGTAGATGAGAGGTGGCTGCTCATTGCTAAGTTTGACAGTCACATGGGACTAGTGGGTATTTCTCCTGTAGATGTGTATACAAGTCCAGGCTCCCATACTTCTAAAATATCAAGCCTTCTTTACTTCATGCTGTATCCATGTATGATCGCACAGAGTATATTTTCCTACAAAAGGCTTAAAAGAGATGGTCCAAGGAGAAGGTTCTCGAGAAAGCTCTACAGATAGAGTCCGGGCGGCTAGAGTCATCATGATATCTTGCAATAGCCTCAGTCGAGTTCTAGTGCGGTCTTGAGCATGCTCAAGGAAGCAGGAGCTGCTGCAAAGTAGCTCTCCAGCTTCTCAATCTTTCAATCCTTTAATCTTTAATTTCGAATTCTAGCAATCATACAATATTATACTCTTCTACAATCATAGTCTCATATTCTCAGTCTCTTACTACTCGTTCCATTTTTCGGACCTTATTCAATCTCAGGTTTTCAGACTACCTCGCTAGCTCTGTAACTAGAGTATCCTTCGTCTCTCCTATCGTTGACCACATAGTACCACGATAGTTGAATTATCTCTGAGTATCCTTCGTTAATCTCTACACGCACAACTTATTACCTTCGGCATATAGCAATCTTCAATATCATTATGTTATGATTGTAGCATTGATACCCCTGCACATTTATATTGAGGATTGGCGAGATGTAAACAGAAATGGTGCTAATGGAATAGGCTCATGTAGTATGGAATGGAATGGACTGACATAGCATCGAAGTTGCCACCACCAATTCGAAAAAACATAGAATGATTTCAACGAACGCCATAGTATATATACACCTGAATACAGGAATAATGATTCTCCCACGTTAGGGAGGATCAAGCAAAACATACTCTACATACTCATCTGCCGCGATATCGATCATATCGTTCAGCGGACGTGCAATACATTGTCGGTAGCTATTCCACCTCTCATAACCTTGCATTTGTAATACATTAGCCCACACCGTAACGCAAAGCCGGTTCTTGATGAGTCGAGCTTAATCTATAGATGCGCGATTGAGCAGCTGCACCGCTACCTGATGGATACCCGCTGATGACAACTGACGCTTTTCATTATTGAGCTCTGAGCGTAGGAAAAATCTCTTGTCGACTATCACCCTCAGAGTGTCTTCCTATACATAAATAGCTGCAGTTAGTGCCGCAGCTTTTAAGTTTGGGACTGCACATTAGGACAGTCCATGTCGAGCCACCGAGGCCTAGATGGCCATTGATGACTGGGCTAGTGCGACTGGACGATGAGGGCTTCTTTGGACAGTAAAACTCGGAAGAAGATTCGATGGTTGAGTAGGGGGATTTGGTGGTGCCGTGCTGAGGCCAGCAGTCACAATCTGCACGATTGCAGCTCATAGATACACTTTTAACGAGTCGATTAAGGCTTTGTGCTCACCACTAGAGAGCAGTATGAGAGCTTCTTCGACGCTTCTAGTAGCGATCGAGCAGATTGATGTATGTGCCGTTATTGCGCCTAACGGCGCTCTGCGGTTTCTACCACAACTCGAAGTTCTGAGCAAATTTTCACAGCTAAACAGTTGAATACAATACGAATTAATTAAATTAAGAAGTTCTGAGCGACAACTCTGTGCCTGGTGTAGATTCTCTACAGGTTGTGCCTTGTCAAATTTACTGGTTTCTACCTTTGAGGTGGATTCAGCAGCTCGTGGTATGATTATTTTCGTATTTTGGAAATATATTTAGGAATTTAGAGGGCCTCATCGCCATCTTATCGCGGACGGATTGCCCTTTAGTTGGAGTTGAGACCCGTAAATCTTCGATTTGGTCGTTGGAACGGACTGAGTCTATCACCTTTTTATCAGTACAACATTTGCGTAGATGTCCTTTTGCCATACTGCTCATCATAGTCTCGTAGGCACATCGCTTTCTTGGTGGGGCTTTCGGCTTTCCCATTGCTGGGATCGGGGGATCACGCACCGATTGCAACTCGATAGCCTACTGTCGTTTACAATTCAAAAATAGATGCGACGTTATCAAGGGCAAGGAAAATTGGATGTTGTAGAATTTACTTAACTATGTGTTGATCTGTTTGTATATCAATGTGCTAGGCAATTGGCAGCCTCCGCACTACCGTTGGAACTTGAGCATGGGTGAAGTCCGGCTTTAACAGGTTTACTACTATTAAGTGCATAAACCTCATGTCGGCCGAATGAACTAATCACCTCAGACTTCACCCATGTGTTGAACATGTCAAGTCCACCCGTCCTAAGAGCCTGAATTTGACGCGTCGAAGCGTAGATTCCTCCTCAGAATCTGCCACTACGCGCCCGAGCCCTTGACCTCCTCCCAATCCCCATTTTGTCCTTTCCGTTTAGTCCTAGTCACGCCGCTTCCTAGCATCTATTCATCTCATTCAGGCGTCCTTCTCTTCGTTGGAGACCTTATCCAATCGCCCACCGAGACATCCTCAGTTTTCCTCCCTTTTAATCATCCACTGTAGCTTCTCTTGAGCCTTCTGTCAATATCGCAATCTCAGAAACTTTGTATACTTTCTATCCTTCCGGCATTGCCCCACCGATGCCGTAACCCCAACCGTCGGAGCCAGTTATTAGTCAAAAAGCTCACAACCGAGGCACTAATGCCTCAGCCTTTGTAATATCTTCTGGTTGATTAGCCGCAGGATTTCGTACACATTTCCTTGGTGCTAATGTGTCGCATGTTGACTTTTTAGTGGCCTTGGCCGAGGTATATACGAATACAAGGCCGATACTTCGACCGTACTTTCACAGCGCACGATAGCCGCGGTGGGATGAATTTCCACTTGCAGCTGAAATTGCTAGAATGGCTTGTGGATTAAAAATTGCTTCGGTAGGTTACAAGATGAATTTAGCTGGAAAAGACCCTCTAGGGAAATTGGAGATAGTGAAGACTGTCAGTTGTTACAATAGGGACATCAGAAAAGTTATAGCCCATCTAGGGTTCGTATTTAGGGTGTAAATGTATGCATCCTTGACCTTTACAGTCGTGGAATCTCTGCTGGTCGGGGTTTTGTCCAAAAACTCGACAATGCCACTCCTCCCGATCGCCATCTCGAAGAAAGCTCTGGCACACTCTTTATCGTAACTGAATTTCGTCTCTTGGATAATGTTCCGCTCCAAGGTTCGTATAGAACACCAATGATAGGCGTTTAGTCTTCATCCCTCTAGAAAAACGCGGTGCTCTTATAATAAAAGGGCAAATCGTTGTGAAAAAGATGGTGTTAATCATCTTCTGGTGTGGGTCAAGCCACCATCCCTCGGGATATAAGACGTATGAAGATTGTCTAGAATACATGATCCTCCAAGCTACGGCAGTGCCTGACTTTTCCCAATACCTGCGTTTGAGCCAGCTGTTTACATTCGGTTAAATGGGTAGGAACGTATCACCAAGATCCCAAGTCCCAAGGCCGAGGGAAAATCTGTGAGGAAAACCTCGGTAATCTCTCCCGTACTCATTTTTGACGAGTAGCCGCAGCCATTTCTAAAGACATGTAGGAGTTTAACCTGCCGAATCTAGAAGGCTCAAACAGCAACTGAATACTTATGCCGACAGCTTGTTATAAGCGATATTGCCATCACTTGGATTCTTTTTGGTCAATTGAGCCTTTCGCTCTACCTCTCTGAAATAGTGGTAGGAGTTTTTCCTGAAAGAGGTCATAGATGGGGATGAGATTAAGCCTACTGGTACTCGCGTAGATGAACGGGGATTCTACAGGGAAGGATAAAGACTCTTCTCAGCTATTTCAGATATGCGAATATACTAAATGATCAAATCGATATTGCTGGAAGTCAGAGAGTCTCGGGATCCACAGCAATTCCTTCCAGGATCTTATTTTTGATTTATCGTCGTGCTAGTTGAATCCCTTCGAGGGTGACGTCATCCTTAACTAACTTCAGCCACTGGACCACGTGATCAAAGAGCTTGGGAATCATCCTGCCCCATTGACCACGACTCAGTCTACAGATAGCCTCTGAACAAGCACTGCTCGAGCTCGCATAACGCTGGGTAGTAAAAATACAACCAAATCTCTCATAAAATCACATACGACGATTTCGCACGTCTTATAGAGTAGATATACACAAAATTTGGAGCACCGTTTGGAATAATGGTTATTAACCCCACTCTACTCGCACAGAGGTCGCGCCAGTGTAAGACAAGATGTGCGGATAACCTTGTATTTATTAACATAAATAATAGCTGTGAACTGGGCTGACGCTCAAAAGAGGGTGGTCAAAAGTTACCGGGACTGGATACGCGCTGTACGTGATTTAACCTTCTACAACCAATGTATTCGATTACCTCGAAGCTTTAATAGAAGCAAATCATGTTCCAAAGAATGAAATAATAACTAATTCCTGCTATTAGGCCCCAGAAATACAAACCATGTACTCTCTTGATATTCCCATAGCACAAATGCGTACCAAAATACGGCAAGAATTCGAACGGCATCGATTCGTCAAACAAATTAGTGTTGTGGATGTTTTATTGACGCGCGCAAATGTTGAATTTCAGGTAACTTCCCTGATACGGTGTTATCCAAGAAGTTATTTAGGCTACAAATGAAACACATCCCAAACTGCAATTTAAAAAATAAAATATTTACACTGTTGACTGGCTTTCTACATTTAGGAAACTTTGAACTACTGGAAGCAACTACCCCATGTATTGAAATATTTTAGGGCAAAAGAAGATCGCAAAGTTTCAAGCCCGAATAATTTCGTTGAGGCCTTTCTGGAGGTATGAATGGCGTTCAAATCCATAAAAACATATCTAATGAACATAGGGACGGAACTAAAGTTTCGATCAACGATGTTACAAATTTATCTAATAGTCAAATCACAAATCAAACCAACATTATTTCACAATGAAGTTCATTGAGATAAAATAGCCTGCAAAGTTAGCAAACTTTGTAATTTCATTCCATCTGAAAATTCTCGCCTTGTCGCCATTAACTTATCAGTTTCAGTATCACACAAGTGTCTCAGGTCAACCAACCCCATTTTAAGTGCCTCAAAACTACCTGTGCTATCTTAATATCGGCTAGTTATGAATTCAATTCTCACGCAATTAACTAAATTTAAGTTATGAAAATTTGTATCATCACAATCATGTAAGGTTCAGTGTATTAGGGGAATAAGTAATCATAGATCACTACAAAGATGGCGTAAAGTGCATTAGCATTTTTAGAACTAATTGTTCTTTTATATTCAGGTCAAGGTATGATTCTGTTAAAAAACCTCGAATTAATGCATGTGCTAGTAAGGCAGGTTTTTGCTATTTTGTTATTAGATATCGCAAGTCATTGCCATATTTATGATCTTTTTTTGAGCTCAAACATTGCTGTTATTCTAGAGGACAAAGACTTGACATCTATCCGCGGTAACCTCTACGGACCTAAGAAAAAAAATTACCCAGAGACAAGTTCAATCTAATTTTGCAACAGCCAAATTATTTGACATGGCAATAATTCAAGATACTTCACTACGCCATTCTTTCACTCTCAACACGATCGATTCCTACTTGAGCCTCATCAAGCCTACAAGTAGACCTAATACGTCCTCGTGTCAATGATATTATCTCTCTAAAAATCAACCCCTGGCCTGCCTGGCCCCCCATTAAACGACCAAAAGAACAATAAATTCGAAAGAATGATTAAACGGTGGTACGCACATGTAAATGTAGATCACCGGGATGGATGCTAGAGATATCAGATGAGATGGATAACATCATGCTATGAATACATACATTATTGAAAGGGATGAAATATTCTTGAAAAGAATGAATTTTTGATTTTTAGAAAGCTGTAATTCATACTGAACATTGAGAACTACTCAACCTCGATTCCGAGAATGCAGGCGACGCTATAAATACTGTCACGGTTTGATGGTGCACTGATATTTTACCTGGGCCGTTTTGCCAATTGATGTCTGGACTCTTTGATATCTATCCCATTTGGGACAAGAGATCGCTGGTTCGAATCCGGCATAATTGAACTACATTTTTCGCGTTGCAGTTGCACTTGAGTGAGAATGGCATGATCTGATAATCTATGGAATTGTAATTTCCCTTTAGTGGGTATTCGCGGAGGTGAGTCGACCATTCTGCAGAAGAAGACATGACTCGATATTTTTTATTGATTTATTGAATTTAAGGTCCCAAGCACCAGCCCAGCGCCTTGTGGCACGGGACTGGTTTTATTTTTTTAATGAGATGTAGAGTACGAGCCCTAACGTAAAATAGTTGTCCAACATGTAAATGTAGCACTGATCATATATCAAAATTTATTAGCTAAATATGGCCCAATTAAAAGTGAAAAAATTCTCTTATTTCGTTAGAGCCGGCAATCAATCAAACTAATAGTAATCTATCAGCCTAACTATGCTGAAAAAAATTGCTCTGAAAATTTAACAGTTTTGCAAGCTGTGTGTATGTGCTCCTCGGTTATTTGAAATATTGTCACGGTTTGACCGTTGTATGAGCTCAGGTGGACACCTCAGCGTAGTATTTAAATTGTTTATAATAAGGTCGCACGGAGAGGGGAAGATGGAACTAGACGAAACGACAATACTAATCAGGACGCTAGATCGCTGTTACAACTAAATAACACCCAACGATACGTGGCTAGTTAGCGAGTATGATGTCTGGAGGAAAGCCATCAGCTAGTAGATACACGCAGCGGATCAGTCATTATAAGTACCTGTTAGTTGTAGCTAGAGTTCTCTTCTCTCCTCATATAGTTTAATAAATCGACTTATTCATCACCAACTCGGTTTCCGTCACAAGTATAGACTCATGGTCATCTGCCACGTTCTCGATCAGTCGAAGCATCAAAATGTCGCTTCTCAGGGATGACAAGTCTTTCCGTGTATTCTTGTTAAACGTGGGAATCTAGATCAGAAAGCACTTTAAATACTTTTGAGGGATAATTTGACTCACTTTCTGTATTAAGGTATAAAACAAGGTCGCAACTTCTTGGGGGAAAGTGTAGATGGTATTTCTTTCAGACAACTTTGATGACTGGATTTTAAAGAGTAACACTACATTTCACCCAAAGAATTTACAAGCTACAAACTTGTGATGGGATTTATTTTTGAATTCAATATCCTGCTTTTGCATCCTGTGGGTTCAAGCTCTCTTCTGACAACTTTTACAAGCCTCTTATGGGGAAACCTCTCAGTAGAAAGCCCTAGCCAGCCGTTACCATTCCTTGGATTACTAGGGCTTGCTCTCAATGGTGAGGAGAAAATCCAACGTCAAATCTCCAGTTCAAATTTATTCAATGCAACTGGAATCTCTCATATAGGTTCAGGTGGTACTACAAAGTCTTGAAATCAATAGGGGATTTAGTACAGATCAAGTCTAATCTGTGCCTTTGGTCTTCTTATTTGTCATCCACAAAGACTATTTACACTACTGTACCATATATACGAATCAACAAGTCGTCCCTAATGGCCCCACCGCTTTTGATCTTGTCTCTTTCTCCCGGCAGCATATCACCGCCTTCACCTCACAAAATACCTTGTTTCAATCACGATCTGATATTTACTGCTGTATATTAACGAGTCAAAAGCGTCATCGTGTCACTTTGTTCATGATATCTTGAGATTAAACTGTTTGCCATTTTTAAAACCTTTCGGTGTATTCTACTGTCTAGCCGTACACGTTTATGCGTGCCGTTCAAAGGACTCAAAGAGCTGTCATTATTGGAACAATGAGCAGATGCGCCGTGGGATATAATTGACTCACGTAATCGCTCATCGGTATGACCGAGTATTTTCCAATCTATCCCGAGAAGCAAATATTAATCCTAGCATCTGCGATATGCTTGTTTTTTGGTTTGACCAGGAAGTGAGCGAGTGAGTGTGCTAATTATCCTAATGAGTCTATGCCTCCTTCACGACTACTTTCCAGCAATTATGCCCCCACAGGTCTTCAATCGAGGACAGAATAAGAGGAGTCATTATCCCGTCATTATCTCCCCTCTCCAGCCAACGAAACGAAGGCCATTTGCGAGTGTGAACCTGCAGGGAAAAGTCTCAAAAACCACTGGGTGTGGGGCTCTCTTATGATGAAGAGGCCGGCCAACTGGGCGCAGAAGACCTGTGTATACCTAAGAGCGCCTATCAAGCTTCCTAGCCTCCTCCTTACTCCTCGCATGATTCATGCTGCAGGATAAACCGAAGGTCGCAAAAGATTGTCAGAAAACTCTTGGTCGAGTGTGACTGACGTGAAGAAGCCTAGCCTTGCATCAAAATGTCGCTACGGACGTCGGGTCGTCGGGTAACTCATGCCCTTTGGATGCCCTTATGGCTAGAATGATCGGCATTTCAGACGTAAAGAGACTTGATTATCGACGAGTCGAAATCCGCTTTTCATAAGGGCGGGAGGGTCTTTTACTTTGCTTTCGTGGGCTTTTTGTTTTCCCACCGGTGGGTAGCACGTGCTGTAATATAACGAGGACTTCTCTAACTACCGTTGTAGCGTTTGGTACTGCATTAACTTTCATCATTCCCGGCATCATTATCGTTGTCTTGGTCGTCCTATGTGTCTAAGGGGGCGCATCTTTGACGGAGGGGGAGATGACCCTGCTCAAAGTTAATAAGGTATTACTCAATCTCGGCTCTGCAAACTCTACAGTGAGAGCTGGAGGTTCGTAGGCGACACCACTGACAGGTCTTGAGTCCCGTCCGCCTTAGACCGGGAAATATGTTGCAACATCCACAAGAGTGCAGAAGCCTCTCGTCTCTTTACGAAGTGGAACTCCTGGTACCTTGGATAAATCAAGCTTTGCGCACCATGGGGGACGTCTAATATCTATGGATCATTGAAAACCCCGAGAGATTCGGGAATAGTCTCATGTTCTTTTATTAGCCACAGTCCCAACAGCAGAGCCCTTGAACTGTACTCCTCTCAGGACCGTAGCGACTTTTTTCCGCATGGTCATTCTAGCAGTACTTCTTACCCACTCAGCATAACCTTTCAGTTAAGAGGACTATTCATCATTCTTTCGAAGAATTGATTCAGAGGATTTCTCAAGATCTCTACTTACATCATGACTGTTGGAAATCTACTCCATATTGCTTCTTTTACTCGTCAAACTTACTGAACAGTATCTCTCATCGATTCGGATGAATAGTCTGAGCGTGTGTATTTTCAAAATTGCCCGTCAATTCAAAACGAACCCTTTCCACCTGGCGATTACTACCATTGATTTTGCGTGGATCCATAGCCGCTTCACATATTCTATCATCTTCTTTTCTAACAAGGTATTGGCGAAATAGGTAAATGTGTTTTATCCCTTCCTATTTTACCAAGAATCATTCTCACACAAAGTACCTATTCCAGTGAGCTCTGTGAATCTCGCAGCATTCTCTGACCTATTAGACTGGGATGGAATTTCAAACGCCTTTTGTTCCGGTCCATATATCCCCCATTGACGAGATGAAAACAAGCTCCTCAGAGCGATAGCAGGTCTAAATATGCACTCTCTCTTTCGATCTAATCCAGCCCATCCAATTGCTCTTGTCCGACAAAGTAGACCAATATCCCGGGCATTTTCCATAAGATATCCGGGCGCGTTAATTAGCCATCCACAGTGTTCTTCTTGGAATCCCCCTTGTAGAATACATTTATCGTTAAGAATTTCAGCAAATGTGTTGTAGTGTCAAATTGGAGCGTTGGCGTTTGACCAGAGGTGGAATAGAAGGGCGAGAAGAGGTCGGATGGATCGCGAGGGATGACTA